CACAGGAGCCAGGAAAAAGGATTCTGGGGCCATCCCAGCCCCACCGCATTCCCTTGCTGTGCCAGCTCCCCCTGCCCCTGAGCTGGGCCCCTGCCCTGTCCAGCAGGCCTGTGTACCTTTGCGATCTTGATGACCTGGATGTTCTCCTCATCAGAGCCCTGGTCAAACTCTCCAGCCACCACCAGGTCGGATGTCCTAAGCAATGAGACATGGAGGGTTGAGGACAGGGAGTGGGCCCTGTGCCCTGCCTCACCCTGACTGGAGCTGGTAGCAGAATCCCGAGGCTGCCCAGTGCTCACTTGACTCTGCAGTGGGCAGCAGTGACCACCCAGGTCTCGCTGATGAGGGAGCCCCCGCAGAAGTGGAAGCCAGTTTTGTCCTGGTAAGGAAGAAGATAAGGGTCACTACTCCCACCTGGGCTGCAGCCTGCACCCCCAGCCTGGCCAGCACCCCAGAGTACCCCCGACATACACAGAATGCTTCTCTCACTTGCAGGGACACCTGCCAGGGCAAGAAGCCAGGGATAGCATCCTCTCTATTGATGATCCTGAACAGGTCACTCAGCACCAGGTGGATGGCAGGAACCTGCATCCTGGGGGTTAGGGTAGGGTGAGGGGAGAGGCCAAGTTTGAGACTGAGGCCACTAAGTCCCAACTTCTTTCACCCTTACCTGTGCCAGCTTCTGGGACCCAGCCTGGCTCACCCCTTTCCTCCTCTGGAAAGCCAGCCCTGACTCTCCCACCTCAGTCCTGGTATCTCCCAGGTACAACTCGGTGTGACTTGTGCTGAGCAGGGGAGGCAGAAGACTCAGACTGCCTGTCAGGGGAAGCCCAACAGGGGCAGTGAGGGAGCAGGGAGGACCAGGGAGCTGGGCTCTGTGTTTCAGCCTGGGCCCAGCATTGCCTGCTTGGTGGAAGTCAGTTTCCCCACCAGCAAAAGAAGATCTGGTGCCAGGCTCACAGGGTTGGTATGAAGATGTGTGACAAAAGTCTGGGGTGTAGCTCAGTGGTGGGGTGCTGGCCTAGCCTGCATCAGGGCCTGGGTTCCACCCCAGCACCAAAAAAAAAAAAAAAAGTTGCCTGAAGCAGCAGCAGGCAAAGGGCTTGCTCTGCTCTCAGCACATAGTAGGTGCTCAGTGAATGGAGTCTAAAAGGATAAGTTTCAGAGTTTCAAAAGGGAAGGGTTTGAAGGGGCACCAATGCCCCATACTCATTGCTGACTGCTCAGAGAAGATTTTGTCCCTCCACACCAGTCCTCCCTGTCCCCTAGACAGGGTTCAGGCCTCAGGACAGCTTTACAAATTCTGCTTCCTTTGGGGCCTCAGGCTGACTGGACATGGGGTTGGGAACAGGGCTCCCCAGCTGCCAGGTTGTGGGATAGCATCTGGGCCTGTGAGCGAGAATGTGGTCTGGTCCCACCCTCCCCATGTCCCCCCTGTAGAGCTGGGGCCAGTGAGGCTCAGAGGGGGTGGGACTCACCCTGGCTCCCAACACTGCGCGGCTCAACCAGGGGCAGGATTAAGGGTGAAGGGGACCCAGCCTTCCTGTCAGCACGGGCACCAACCAAAGGTGGGGGTCAGGGCAGGCTGTGGTGCTGAAGTTAAAGAAACGAGCGCACCTGCCTAGGGCTGCCCTTTATATCCCTGAGTGCCAGGCTGTTATCTGAGACCTTGGAGTGATAATCCCTTCCTGGGGTGTGTGCCCTGGTGGGAAGATGTAACAGAACAGGGCTGGCAGGGGTCCCTGGGATGGCAGCAGCTGCAGTCCACAGTGGAGCATGGGGCCAAGGGCCAAGGGCCAAGCCGGGGCTGAACAAGGGGACATTTGACCTGCATTCTTCCTCCTCCAGCCCTGCTCTGAGGTTGCATTCAGAAGCCCACCATATGAGCCCCAAATTAATCTCTTGTGTTCTGGAAGACCTTGCACAAATACCTGAGTCCATTTGTTGTTCAAATACCCCTGGGTAGTATGGTCAAGAGGGGAGAGGTTTGGGGACCAGGCTTTTGCCCCCTGGTGTGGAACACAGGAGTGACTGGCCAGGGGTTGAGGACGCACCACCTGGTCTTGGGAATGGCCAGGAAGGCTCAGTGAGGGCTCTGCTGGAGGTCTGGGGTAGCCACTTGGGCTGAGTGGCTCAGAGGGACAAGCTGCCATTCACTCCGTGCAAAGCCCCCTCCTTCAGGAGTCAGTGTGCACAGGATCCTGGAGGTGGGCATGTGGCTACTTGGGGCAAGACTGAGACTATGGAGCAGCCAGGGTGGTGGGCCATCAGCTGCCCCACGAGAGCTGGTGGAGGCTGGGCTCAAGGCACCAGGCTGGGCGTGGAGGCAGCAGGTAGACCTGGCTACTGGTTTGGTTCACAGGGTAGGAACTGGGGGGGAGGGAGAAATTTGGGGTTTAGGCTGCCAGGTGTAGGGCAAGCCCCCAAAGGGCACAAGAAATGACATTGCATCGATGACCATGATGTATTTGTTCACAGTACAGGTTTTGGTGTCAGAAGCTGTGGAGCCTCAGGCAATTTACTTACCTTTTCTGATTCCTTTCTATGTGGGACAGAAGGACATGATCCATGTTGAAAGCACCAGGACCAGGCCTAACAGTCCTTGGTTTTTCTTGAGCCAACTGCGTGCTCATGCCCTTTACTCATGTTAGAAGATGGGAGAGGCATGGCCACGTGTATCCGGTGGGAAAGCAGAAGGGGAACAGGATTCAGTGTCCCCTGGCCTGTGTGCACATTGCAGTTCGCCCTGTCAGCCAGGCTGGCCAGGCCTCTCCTGGAATAGAAGAAGGAAAAGAAACCCAAATTCCTGCCTTTGGCAGACACATGGGGTGGGTCGGATCTTCAAGGAAAAGTCAATTAAAAATAAATAAGTCAAATATGCGTGGCCACCAGCTCAAAAGTTATTTTATCTTCATTGATACAAAAAGGCCAAGGCCTTTAGGACACTCTGAAAGGACACCAATTTAACAACCTAGGAGTTTCCTGAGTGACCAAAGGACCCTGCAGGAGGTGCTGTCATTCAGAGGGAACAGCAGAGGCAGCCCCTGGTGGCGTAAGGGCTGAGACCAGGGACAGCAGCGGAGGGTTCAGCGGTTAAGGGGGCAACCGAGAAAGGGCCTGGCGGGGCCACCTGACCGGCTGCCCAGAGGGCCCAGCAGGTGGGGTGGGACCCGCGACCCGCCCCCGCCCCCGCCCGAGGGACCCGCCCCGGCCCGGCCCCGGCCCGGCCCCGCCCCTGCAGCCTCGCCCGCTGCGACACGTGGCAGTGGGAGCCTGCACCTCCGGCGCCGGCCGTGGGAACCCGCGCAGCTGCGGGGGTCGGGGTCGGGGCGCAGGTGCGGGACTCCGGCTTGGGGGACCCAGCAATCGGCCCCGCCCTGCGCTCGCGACGCCTACCCCACCCGAGACCCAGAAGCCCCGGAAAGCCAGGAGTTAGGGGCGCGTCGGAGGCTGCGCGGGGGTCCGAGGTCCGCGCCACTCCGGGACCACAGCCGGGCCAGAGGTGGCAGAGGAGGAGTCGTCCCTGGTGCCCGGGCCCTGTCGCCTCCTTCCTCCTCCTTCCTTCCTCCCACCCCGGGGTGGGAGGGCAGAATGCTGGACTGTGTCCATGGGCTCTGGAACTTCATGTGACATGGTCGTGCTCGGTCCTCCTTTCATCCTGCTCCTGTCACCACGCTTCTGAAGCTCACCCAGGGGTCCAGGGGGGCAGCAGCTTCTCCCTTTTTGTTAAGGGCGTCCCTGTGCGTGCGCTGTGGTCTGGGAAGTCACCTCTGCATCTTGATGTGGACGTCTGATGGCCTTCTTGGGAATGGGCCTCCTGCACTGGACTGTTCACTTACAAATGGCTAAGATGGCAAAATTGCTGTTATGTGGGCTTCGCCACCATTCAAGTCATGCCACTGATTGTCCACCTTTTCCTTCAATAGCGAATAGAGGTTTTGGAACCCTTGCCCCATTCTGAGGGTCACCTTCGTGAAATTTCCCTGCAGGAGTAACAGGCCTGCCTGGCATTGGGACATTGGAGAGGACTGTGGGGCACTGGGCATGGGTCCGTTAGTACTGGCACTTCTAAAGGGCATAGAATTTGGGAACCGTTTACCCCAGAGATTAGGACGTTTCTCACAGAGCCAGTAGTTGACCCCACAATCCCCGTGTGGAGCAATTTAAGAGCGCTTCTTTGCCCAAACTCTCCCCACCAGGGTTCATCCCGCTCCAGGTGTGGTGGAGGGGAATGTTTTCTGCATGAAAGGTGCATTTTGCCCCCTCAGTCTAGCAGGTCCCACTGCAGCTCACTTGGAAGACAGTCCCCTCTCGTGCTGTGTGCAACCCCGTGTTTCCGCTGACTTCCTCTCTGCCTGCCAGCTCTCAGCATCCCCCGTGCATGTGCTGCTAAGTGGACGCCAGCTCCCACTCCCAGAGTGCCAACAGCTTCCAAAATGAATGGTCTACAACTTCCAAAATGAATGGTCTCTCCCTCCTCCACACCCAGCTAGACCACTGCCATGGCCAGTGTCCCTTGGGTCAGATGCAGTCATGTGGCAGAGCTTAGCCAATGGAATGTGGGTCCCTAAAGTGTGTCACTTTCAGGCCTGATCCAGGGGAACCTCCCAAGGAAGTACCACCATGCCCTTTCCCCTCCCCTGCTGGGTGCTAATGCACAGGGAAGACACAGGCATTGGTGGCAGAGTGCTGTCAGCTAGGGACCGTGAAAACTGTGGAGCAGAACATCAATCTCACCTCCCCTCAGGCCATGGCTCTGCCTTGGCTGTTGCTTAACAACGAACAAGCAGCCATCAGTCAATGGATGATTGATGGATCTTTAGTCTCTCAAGTTTTCAGTAAAGAGTATTTCCCTGGGTTCCACTTTTACCCTAGAATTTCTGACTCTTCCCTCCTGGTCTGGCTTGGAGCTATGCCTCTTACAGGCTCCTGGAGCGCATCCATCTCCGCTCCTGCAAATTCCTAGGGAGAAGCAATTCCCTGCTCATGGGTTGGGTCCACCAGCCCCAGGGATTTCAGGAAGCCCTACCCAGTCTGCACTACTGCCCTGTCGCATGTGGCCTCTAGTAAGCAAGGCCGGGAGAAGTTCAGTTACAGAGAGGTACTCAGGAGATCCGTGTTCTCACAGGGAATGGTGTCCACAGGTAGGGCTCTCCAAGGCATCCTGGGTTTGGGGGAAGTGCTTTGTAAAAATAGGAGGCCTTGATCTCGGATATGACTGTACCCAGCAACTTCCTTGGGTTTGGCCTTGAGTGGGTGTTGTGCTGAAGTAACAGGCCTGCCTGGCATTGGGACATTGGAGGGGTCTGTGGGGCACTGGACATGGGTCCCTTAATACTGGCACTTCCAAGACACTGGAACCTGGACACCTGACTAGAGTCTAGCCTCTGTAGATGAAGGAACCCCTCCATTCAGGTCCTGCCTCTGAGGAGTCATATCCCAACTGTCCTTTCCATTAATAAATAATTATTATTGAAGTATATTGAAGTATTTATATATGGCGAAGCCACAGATCAGTGTCTTAAAGTGCAGTGGCTCTAAGTGCAGCCAACACCACAAGCAAGGTACAAGCCTGGTTGTTATTCAAACCCAGCCTCTGCCGTTCCAAACCACGGTTGCATAAGGACATCACCAGGGAAGTAAGATGAGGTGGTGGCTGGCTGCAGCCCTGTGACCCCCCCCTGGGGCTCCACACTTCCAGTTTGGATCCCCCAAAGGCTGGTTCAAGGCTTGTCCCCCTCCCTCGTCCTGGAGCCTTCCCAGGACAGACGTCTCCTGTTCTCAAGTTCACAGTGAGGTTAGCTCTCACAGTCGACCTAACTGGGCTGTTTGCGGCTTGCTGCTCTGGTAAAGTCCCTGGGAGAAGGAAAATACAAATGTGTGGGCCATCTACTTGGAATGAGTGACGGGGAACCCCCCCCCTCAAATATTAATATTTCAATAAATAACCCAGGCCTGGGACCTGGGTTATATGAATTCCTTATGCTCAAAGTCAGGGCTGACACTGAGCCGCACCCCTGGGCTGCCCCACAGGTGGTTAGGGTGTAGAAAAGCCTGGTGTCAGTTAGGCTGGGACTGTGGGCCACACAGACACGGGCCGGGGCCTGCAGGACCCTCATGGCCTGGTTCCACTTCAACCAGATGCTAAGCATTGTGACTGGCCTCTGTGACGGAGAACACACAACTCCAAAACTGATTCAAGTTCAAATCCACACTTTGACTTTACAAAGACCAGTGACACTGTCCTGCTCGCTTGGACCAGTTTCTGCTATTCCTTCTCAGTCCTCTCCACATGGGGACTGTGGGTGGGACTGGGCACAGGTGACCCCCTAGATAATTCCGAGTGTCCATGCAACCTTTTGCTTTTCCCTGAGTGTCCACTGTTGAAACACTCTTCACCGAGAACCTGAAGTCCATGTTTATAGTCCTGGGCCAGCAGCAGGAGAGATCCTGAGGGCCTCCGGGCTACCCGGTCAGGCTTCTTTGAACCTTGTGATGGGATTGCATTTAATTAGGAGCTGGGAAGCCCACCGGTGGCACTGGGAGTGACGGAGTCCCCTGCTCTGTCAAAGTCTGCATGAGCTGGCTCTGAGGGGCTGAGCGCCTGCCTGGCACTGCCTTGCCCTCAGCGCCTGGGGTGCCGGGTGTTGCTGAGGCTCGCAGGTGGCTTTGGAATGGAGCAGCTGTCCTCTTCCCAGGGTGTTCCAGGATGAGAGCCAGGAGTGGGAAAGCTGGGCCCCCACTTATCGCCCAAGGACCCTGGATAACAGGGAGCGTGGCTCCTAGGCCTCCCTGGTTGGGCAGGGCCAGAGGGACTGGCCTCGGCTTGAGATCCTCAGCGACATAAAAGGGGCTCCAGGGCAGGCAGGCGGCACCTTCCCTGACTGAAGCACAATGGCCTCCCTGTGGCTTCTCTCCTGCTTCGCCCTCCTGGGGACCGCCTTCGGTGAGTGTTGGGACCCAGTAACCGGCCAGGCCTGGGAGGAGGCCAGGGAGGAGGTTCCTGAGCCCTTTGTGGACCCTGCAGCGGGGCCCCATTGGAGGAACCAGAGGGGCATGACCCTGAGCCAGGGCTGAGCCCCATTCCCTGTCCCCAGGAGCAGGACACAGGCACCTGCAGGGAGGAAAGGGGTCTTTTGGGACTTTCTGAGCCCTCCCACCCTGCTCAGTAGGGGAAAAGACGAACCTACACCCAGCCACGGTCTGTGGCCCAGAAGGGGCTCAGCTGGGGTGCTGTGGGCGGGGTGAGGGCTGCAGACCTCCCTGGCGTCCACACAGTGTTCGTATTTATCATGCTGGGCACGTGCTGAGCATTGTGTTTTCTATTAAAGAGGAAGAAAAGAGATAATAAAAAGAAAATGGCATCCACATCTCTACTGTCAGGATTTAGCAGTTCTTACCTTTTTGTAGGTTTGCTTCAGGTATTACATCTTCTTTTGTTAATTATTTTTATTTTATTTTTGGAAGGTTTTGGTTTTCTCTTGAGGCTGCCCCTAAACTGCTAGGCTCTAAGCAATCTCCTGCCTTGGCCTTCCAAGTGGCTGGGATTATAGCTGTGCACCACTTAGCT